CCCAGATGGACAGCCTCAGAGGCTTGAAGGTAATTCTGTGTCCATAAGGGCCCTGGGGTTTGATTCAAACTAATGCAGCCCGGAGAGCACTTCCTGGTTCGAATCAGCTGGCGATCGGAATAGCGTGAGCAAGATTATGCTAATGAAGCACAGGATATTTAAATCCCCGTTTCATTAGCAATTTTGATCGGCTATTTTTGCATCCCAGTCTCGAGATAGGGAGCAAGTGTAGACGTACTCGTACAGACCAGTGAGTTTAACTTTTGTGCCAGGAAAGTTAATGGAGCAAATAATTAAGGGATTAACTTGCAAACACCTGGACAATAATAAGGTGATAGGTAATAGCCAGCATGGATTTGCAAAGAACAAATCATGTCAAATCAATCTGAGAGCTTTCTTTGATAGGATAATGAATCTTGTGGATAAGGAAGAAGCAGTGGACATGGTATACCTAGATGTTAGTAAGGCACTTGATACTCTCTCGCATTATTTTCTTATCAATAAACAAGGCAAATACAACTTAGATGGGGCTACTATAAGGTGGGTGCATAATTGTCTGGATAACCATTATCAGAGAGTAGTTATTAAAAGTTCACAGTCATCCTGGAAGAGCATAACAAGTGGGGTTCCATGGGGGTCTGTTTTGGGACCGGTTCTGTTTAATATCTTCATCAACAATTTAGATATTGGCATAGAGAGTACACTTATTAAGTTTGCAGATGATACGAAGCTAGGAGGGGTTGCAACTGCTTTGGAGGACAGGGTCATAATTTAAAATGATCTGGACAAACTGGAGAAAGGGTTTGAGTTAAATAGGTTGAAGTTTAATAAAGGCTAATGCAAAGTACTCCACTTAGGAAGGAACAATCAGTCTCACACATACAGAATGGGAAGGGACCGTCTACGAAAGAGTACTGCAGAAACGGATCTAGGGGTCATAGCGGACCATTTGTTAAATATGTGTCAAGAGTGTGACACTGTTGCAAAAAAGCAAACATGATTCTGGGATGCATTAACAGGAGTGTTGTGAGCAAGACATGAGAAGTCATTCTTCTACTCTAGTCTGCACTGATTAGGCCTTAGTTGGAGTATTGTGTCCTATTCTGGGCAACTGTAATGGGTTGGAGTGGCCACCCAGTAACCCCCTAGGGGGAAATGCCCCTTCCTGAGCCTTGGTAGGCAGCACCGGACCCTAATGACTCACCTGGGAGGAAGCCAGGGGCCAGGTCCAGGGATATAAAAGGCCTGCTTGAAAGTCCAGTCAGTCCCCGGCCAGCAAGAGAGCCAGAAGCCTCCCCAGCCCAACCCAGTGAGGAACCAGAGCTGGGAGAAGCTAACGATGGACCTGGGCCAATGGGCCCACTATTGGAGGACTACCTGGAGGGTCTGCTTATCTGGCTGGAGGACTCCAACACTCACTGCCCACGGGACCGGCCCCGAAGCCAGGTACAAACCGAGGTGGGGGGGGAAAAATAGACCGGCCCAGGAATAGCCGACCTCGGTCTGGCAGAGGGTCAGTGGGCTGCGGTACGGACCCCTGCTGGCCCAGAAACAAAAGGTCAGTGTGTTTGAACACGGATCCCTAGAGACCCAGCAGCTGACTGATTGGCTGCTGTTAGGGCCCTGAGCTGGAACGTGGGGGGTAACACCCACTAATCGGGTGGTAGTCTCCCCTCTCTCTCTTTTTCTGCTACCACAGGCAAGGTGCCTGAACCCCTCCTGAACAAGGAGATAGACTATTTGCTTTTGTTTACCAGTGGTGAATTGGTTTGCTTGATTACTGCAGCCCTGCCCTGCTCTAGAACTGAGTTACAAACTGATTACTGCTGCAGCCCTGCCCTGCACTAGGGCTGGGCCATAAACTACTAATACAGTAGTCCGGCTCTGAACCAGGTTCAGACTTAGACTGTGTGTAGTGGGTTGGAGTGGCCATCCTCTGATCCCGAGGGGGCCACCTCCTTCCCCGGGGTTTGCAACACATTTCAAGAAAGATGTGGAGAAATTGGAGAAGGCCCAGAGAAGAGTAACAAGAATGATTAAAGGTCCTAGAGAACATGACCTATGAAGGAAGGCTGAAAGAACTGGGTTTGTTCAATTTGGAAAAGAGAAGATTGAGGGGATGTGATAGCGGTTTTCAAGTATATAAAAGGGTGTTACAATCAGGAGGGAGAAAAATTGTTCTCCTTGGCCTCTGAGGACAGGAAAAGAAGCTTAAACTGCAGCAAGGGAGGTTCAGGTTGGACATTAGGAAAAAATTCCTACCTGTCAGGGTGGTTAAACACTGGAATAAATTGCCAAGGGGGGTTGTGGAATCTCCATCTCTGGAGATATTTAAGAGTAGGTTAGATAGACATGTATCAGGGATGGTCTAGATCAATGTTTCTGAAAGTGTTCCACTAAACCACTTTGAGAAACACATTAAATGGCCGCTGGGATTTGTTTATTTAATGGCGCTGTGGCCACAGATCCTCGTGGCTCCCACTGGCTCTGTTTCATCCTTTGTAGCCAAGACGAGCCGCTGCATGTACATACATATACAAGGTTCATTTTCAATATGATTAACAAGGGAACAAGGTGGCATGGTTCAGCCAATAAGCCTCTGCAGTGGGAATTAGGACACCTAGACTGTATTCCTGGCTCTAGGTCTGACCAGCTTTGTGATTTGGTCAAGTAGTTAATATTTAATACTTCAGAGGAAATTAACCTCCTTTGCAAAACATACTGATTTTTTGTTGTGCTGAATATGAGTAGAAGATCACAGAACACCACCCGCAATTTTATATGAAAGAATGTTTCCCCTCCCACCATCTCTCTCATCTGTTTTATGACAGCATCTCAATTAAGCTGTGACAGCGTATCAGCTAAACACTGTAATTATAGTTCTAAGAATTGTTGACCTGTGGGCTTGTCTCATGTACCATATGTTATTGAAGCGTGCTATAAATAGAATGACACTACTGGGGTATACTACTGAAACTAGGCCGTTAATCATATCAAAGCTATATATATATATATTTCAGTGTATAGGCAATACACTCTGACATTAGTGAATATGTACGTATGTATGTATATAGTCATGGTAAGAGTTGGATTATGGCTAAAAGAATTGCAAGTCCAGAAGGAAGACAGGTCCAGGTCATAAATTCTATACTCTCATCCTGAGAAGACACAGAAGTGACCACAAATAGTTACAGTAAAAAAAAACCTCTGCTAAATGGATGCTTTGGGGGGCTTTAGCAATCTGGTTACTAGACAGTAGGGACAGGTTTATATTTACCATAAGATGGATGCGTTGAAGGTCGATCTTCTAGCTTTTGATTTCGTCGGTTTAATATAGACCCATAAATCGAATGCTGAGGGCAGCTTCCACTGGCATCCAGTACTTCTCCTTTGGTGAGGAGTAAGGGAAGCTGATGGGAGTGTTTGGTTCTATTGGCCTCCCACAGTGTGGACGCTGCCTCGGCTCAGCTTAAGGTAAACTTGCTAAGGTCATTGGACAAATGACTGAGTATTTTATAAGTTACACAAATATGGGACATAAAACAGGATTTTGCTACACTGGCAAGGATGCCATGTGAGAAATGGTTATGAAGTCACAGGATCACTGACATTTTTATACAAGTGTTATTTCAAATATCAAGCCCTTCTGAGAACTGCAAGATGGACAGATTTTAAGGGATTTTTGTATGGAATACAAAAAACCAGTGTGTCCTCCTAATCAACAAGACTGGAAATATGTTGAGACAGCTTGGCTGTGTCTAGACTGGCATGATTTTGCGGAAATACTTTTAACAGAAAAGTTTTTCCGTTAAAAGTATTTCCGCAAAAGAGTGTCTAGATTGACACAGATGCTTTTGCACAAAAGCATCCGTGCCCAGTATAGACGCGCTTTTGTGCAAGAAAGCTCTGATGGCCATTTTAGCCATTGGGCTTTCTTGTGCAAAAAATTAAGGTGCCTGTCTACACTGGCCCTCCTGCACAAGTATTCTTGCGCAAGAGGGCTTATCTCTGAGTGGGAGCGTCAAAGTATTTGCGCAAGAAGCACTGAATTCTTACATTAGAACATCAGTGCTCTTGCGCAAATTCAAGCGGCCAGTGTAGACAGCTGGCGAGTTGGCAAATCTCAAACCCACTTTCTTGACTATAGCAGTGCTTCACCTAACAAGAACTGCTAACTGCAGTGACACAATAATATAGGAATCTGGGGCAGGTAATGAATCATAGAATCATACAACTGGAAGAGACCTCAGGAGGTCATCAAGTCCAACACCCTGCCCAAGGCAGGAGCAATCCTTACTCCACACATGTTTGGCTGAAATCTGTACCAAAGCTTTGAATCTACATCTGCTCCTCCATCAATTTTGTTTTGAAGTTGCCTTATCACTAGTGGTGGTAATGAAAATCGCTGAGACAGAAGAGGCAGTAAGATTAAGGGGGAAAGAACCATTTATGAAGAGTAAACATGCAGTAGGTTTTCTTTAATTGCTCTGGGCATGCCCTTTGCATTTGCCAGCCATTTAATGTGTATTGTGTGGAACTGTGTACTTAAAATCATCCCATTATCATTTAATTGTATTGATCTGAATGTTCTAAGACATGACTGGGTCTTTGTAAAAAAACTGAAATAAATCACTGGATTTTACACAAAGAAAATCAATATAACTAAAAATTAGGAAAACTATCAGAGGGGTAGCCATGTCAGTATGTATTTACTTGGGCATAAACAGAGAAAGTGGGTCTTTGCCCACAAAATCTTGTACCAAAATAAATACATTAGTCTTTAAGGTGCCATGGGACTCTTGTTTCTTCAGTATCATATTTCCCAACAGGATTTCTATATAGGATCTTTTCTAACAGAAGCAGGATCTTTAATATTAGGTATTGTAAGAGAGTGTACATAGCAACTGCCACAAGAAAGTATAACCAAGAATTATGATGAACAAGATAATAACCATGCCATAGCTAAACTGGGGCTGGGCTTGCTGAGGGAAGGCAGCTCTGCATTATGGCCAGGAAAGGAGAAGAGAAGGAGATCAGAGACTGCTGCAAATAGTGAATGGCGGTCAACTTTTGTGGCACTAATTCTGAATGTGAGGTCTGATGGTCATAGCAGTGAATGCCCTGGAAATGGGAAGCCCCCCTTTTTCACACAGCAGGCAAGGCAGCTCTGAATAAAGGGACAGACCATGGGAGGGGAATTGGGAACTCCTAGGATTGGTATGACAGAGAGCCAGCCTCCTGCCCCACTCTTAATGCCACCTTAACTTTCCCATGAAGTATATGGGGTGACCTGGATGGAAAATGAAAGGGAGCTGGTGGAAGCGCCAGGTAATTATTTGAATAAGCATGAATTTGCTTGCACTATGCACTCTGCTCACTCTAGTGAGAGTGAGGGGGGATTTGATAACAGCCTTCAACTTCCTGAAGGGAAGTTCCAAAGAGGATGGAGAGAGGCTGTTCACAGTAGTGACAGATGGCAGAACAAGGAGTGATGGTCTCAAGTTGTGGTGGGAAAGGTCCAAGTTGGATATTAGGAAAAACTATTTCACTAAAAGAGTGGTGAAGCAGTGGGATAGGTTACCTAGGGAAGTAATGGAGACTCCTTCCCTAGCGGAGTTTAAGTCTCGGCTTGACAAAGCCCTGGCTGGGTTGATTTAGTTGGGATTGGTCCTGCCTAGAACAGGGGGCTGGACTTGATGACCTTCTGAGGTCTTTTCCAACTCTATGGTTCTATGATTCTATGGTTCTATGAGACCCTCTGTAATACTAAATTAAAATTATAGAGCATCTTTAGTGTCAGAAGCGCCAATTTATTCCAGATACATTAACGAAAAAAACCTTGTAGTGGGCCTTATATGTAAGGAGGAAAACAAATTTAATTCATTATGCAAGTTTCTTTGCAGGGTAACTAATATACTTCACCAGACAATGTTACTATCACTGTGTTTTCTAAAAGACCCCTTGTGTTAAAAACATACATGCAGAGAGAAGCAGGAATTTTTGTATGATTTCCTGATGAAAAAACCCCTTTCTGCAAAATTGAAATTTTCAGTGGGAAATTGTCAGAAAAAATGGTTTCAGAAAAAATGGTTTCCTTCCACATATAAAAGAAGAAGAGAAAATGAAGATGATGGAGAAGAAGCTTGTATGTGGAAACCCAACATACTGACAAATTCCACTTTGGCTATCCTGAAAAATATTTTTTCAGAATTTCTGATCAGCAGAAAAGAGACATTTTACTTTCTATTGTTAACCCAGGTAAGCCTTGAAATTTTGCACAGGACATACATTCAATTATCAGAACAGTTTTACGGAAAATTTCTGCCTGGAAGAACCTACGGTCTCAATAGACAAAGCAAACTCAGGTTGAGGGAAGCAGTATTACACCCACTAATCTGGCAAATCAAAAAGTCCTCCAATGAGAGAACAATTAGGAACAAACAAAAAGCAACAAGTTACTGTGCTGTATTTTAATATTAAAGAAGAAAATGCAAAAGTGCCAGTGAAAATGAGGATATTGTTAGCATTTTATACATTCTGCCCTACTAAAAGATTTCCCACCCAGCTACTTACCCTGGCAATACTATATTCTTGTGCAAATGAAAAAGATCGCTGTATGGAAGAACATATCAGCCAAAGAAATGTAGATGAAATATTTGTTACAAAACAGTTTGGCAAAAATTGGCCTTTTTAAATTAGAAATTTTTCAATTAAAACAATCCAACACTAATAATTAATTATTAAACAGTCTCGGATATTTTTGTTTTTTTTTTGTTTTATTTTGTTTTTAGGTAATTTACACCAAGGTGAAGAATTTTACCTTACTGCTTTGTTTGCACTGTTTTGTTTTTATTTGTTTGTATGTAGGTTTATTTCTTACTCGCACTGAGCAATTTATGGCTGATTTTGTGTTTCTGTGCCAGAACAAAATTACTCAGTAAATATATTTCAGATTTTTTTTGGTTATTAAATTCCTGTTGTTTGTGCATATTCTTACAAAGAATTCATAGGAATGTCCAAAAGCTGAATGAATGATGGCTTCATAAACATGGCAAGCCAAAACTTGGTACTCAGTTTGCAAAACAGTTCGGCTAAGTCTACACTGGCATGATTTTCCGAAAATGCTTTTAACGGAAAAGTTTTCCGTTAAAAGCATTTTCAGAAAAGCACGTCTAGATTGGCAGGATGCTTTTCCGCAAAAGCACTTTTTGTGGAAAAGCGTCCGTGACCATTCTAGACGCGGTTATCTGCAAAAAAAGCCCCGATCGCCATTTTTGCGATCGGGGCTTTTTTGCGGAAAACACTACTGTGCTGTCTACACTGGCCCTTTTGCACAAAAGTTTTTCGGAAAAAGACTTTTGCCCGAACGGGAGCAGCATAATATTTCCGGAAAAGCACTGACGATCTTACATGAGGTCGTCAGTGCTTTTCAGAAAATTCAAGCGGCCAGTGTAGGCAGCTGGCAAGTTTTTCCGCAAAAGCAGATGATTTTGCGGAAAATCTTGCCAGTCTAGACACAGCCTTCATGTATAATTTTCATCACTATTTGCCCACTTTTACATGCAAGTGTATGAAGATAAAAGCAAAGCTATATAGCAATCTTCATGTTACAAAAATTATTCTCATATTCTCATATTTTTTTTTTCTTTGTGATTTTCCTTCCCATGCTTAACCTGCTTGGCATAATTGTATTTTGCTTACATTCCTTTTACACCCATATATCCTTTTTGGATGAAAGCCTGATCCTGTTGAAAAGGCGATGGCAAATTTCTAGAACACATTCCTTAAAGCAGCTGAGAACATTCACAATTCATAGTTTGATAAATTAACAATCAGATGATTGGGAACAGCATTCATGCAGCTGAACAAAGCTGCATTTATTTTTGCAAATATTCACTGTACTTGACACTTTGTACCTGAGACTCTTAAAACGTTCAAGCAGAGAGACTCAGCCCTTGCACTGACTTGTCTATTAAAATTCTTTACAGAAAAATCACGACTAAAATTCATATTGAAAACAAGATTGTTTCTTACCTACGTAGATTCATGTGGTATCTTAAAATGACCTAGAGCTCATGCAGGTTTACTCTTCTGATGGAGGATTTAAACTCTCAGTTCCTTAGTCCAGTAAGTAAGTGTGATCTAAACCAACAAAAGAAATATGGGAGTGACTTATATTTATGAACTCTGTTATTTTTTCTTGCATGGGTGTGACCTACACGTTAAAGCAAGTCATATTATAATCCATTTTGGCAACACTTTGTTTCCTTGTTTGCTCAATGACTGAAATACGAGAGCGGTAAAAGTTGAGCTAGAGCTAGTGGTAATGGGCTTGGTTCAGAAGTTAATACAGGAAAATAACTAGTTAAAAATTACTTAGAAAAGTTAGATGGCTACAAGAACCAGAGCCTGATGAAATACATCCTAGAATACTCAAGAAGCTGATAGAGGAGATATCTGCACCTTTAGCTATCATCTTTGAAAAGTCATGGAAGTTTGGAGATATTCCAGATGACTACAAAAAGACAAAGATAATGTCATACTATAAAAAGGGAAATAGGGACAGACCAGTCAGTTTAACTTCTGTGTCAGGAAAAATAATGGAGCAAATAATTGCAGAGTTCAATTGAAAATATCTGGAAGATAATAAGGTGATAAAAATAGTCAATATGGATTTGTAAAGAACAAATAATGTCAGGCTAATCTGATATCTTTCTCTGTTAGGGTACGTCTACACTAGCCTCCTAGTTCGAACTAGGGAGGCTAATGAGGGTGACCAAAATTGCTAATGAAGCACGGGATTTAAATATCCTGTGCTTGATTAGCATATTCCCGGCTGGTCGCCATTTTGAAAACTGACTAGCCCAAAGTTACTGCCTGCGTCTACATGCGACAGAAAAGCGGAATTCCGAGAGAAACCCCTTGGTTCGAATTAACTGTTAAACCTTGTGGAATGAGGTTTATGGAATGAGACTTACAAAGTCTGCAGATGATACCAAGCTGGGAAGGGTTGCAAGTGCTTTGGAGGAAAGTACCATAATTCAAATGTATCTGGCAAACTGGAGAAATGGTCTCAGGTAATAGAAGGAAGCTTAATAAGTAGAAATACAAAGTACTCCACTTAGGAGGGAAAAATCCATATCACACATACAGAATGGGAAGCGACTGTCTAAGGAAGGAGTGCTGCAGAAAGTGATCTAGAGATCGTAATGGACCACAAACTAACTATGAGTTAACAGTGTGACACTGCTGCAACAAACACAAACATGATTCTAGGATGCATTAATAGGAGTGTTGTGAGCAAGTCATGAAAAATAATTCTTCCATTCTACTTTGCACTGATCAGGCCTTAATTAGAGTTTTGTGTCCAGTTCTGAGCACCACATTTCAAGAAAGATGTGGAGAAATTGGAGAGGGTACAGAAAAGATCAACAAAAATGACAAAAGTGCTAAAAAACATTAGCTAGGAGGAAAGATTGAAAGAACTGGGTTTGTTTAGTTTAGAAAAGAAGTCTGAGAGGTGACATGATAGTGGCTTTCAATACCTAAAAAGGTCTCACAAGAGAGAGGGAGAAAATTGTTAATAATAGGACAAGTAGCAAAGGGCTTTAATTGAAGCAAGAGGGGGTTAGACTGAACAGTAGGAAAAAAATTCCAACTGTCAAAGTGGTTAAACACTGGAATAAGTTGCCTGGCGAAGTTGTGGAATCTCCATATATTTATCCAGACTGCAATTTTAGCCAGGTCAATGGGGTGCATATCGACACAGAAATCTCCAGTGGGTCCAGATGCAGTAGCCCATATACCCAGTGATACCAGAAACAGTTAGAACTTCAGAAAGGTCTGGATCTAAACAGAAAAAAATAATACAATGTACATATACAATGTCAATGAGAAAAAATACACCTGGATACTGCCTATTTGTGGCAATCTTGATAAAGCCTTTTCTCCTTTATGTCAATGTGAATTCATTAATGGGCACGGAAGCAAGATTGGCTTAAAGCAGCATTCAGCAAAGGTGGATACAAGAAAAAAGCCTGGGTCAAAAATCTGTCAACTATTAAAATTATTTTTCTCTTCAAACATTGAAAGTGACAAAATTGTAATAATTTACCACACCGTTCACCACAGCATTATTTCTACAGTACAGGCTGTTGTGACTAAAGTTGTTAGTGAAATGGTTCACACGCCAACCATTGCTAACAAATTGCCTTGTGCAAGAACTAAGCAAGAGCTATGAGAGACCACTGTTTTGGTCACAAAACCTGTGAGGGATTGTTCATGGGATTAAACAGTATTGCCATCATAACAATCCATATATTTCCCTGTAGCAGTTGATGTATCAGATATTATAGGCCAATTAAAATCAATGTGCTTACGACACTCTAACATATTAGGCTATGTCTAGACTGAAGTGCTTTTCTGGGATACCTCTAGTATCCCGGAAAAGCAATGCCCCATCGAAGGAATGTGTCCAGTTTTCCCCAAATTTTTTTGAAAAAGCGGATGCACTCTTTCACCATCCCTATAAACCTCATTCTACGAATAAAAAGGGATGTGTTGAAAGAGCATTTTTGTCCAAAATTTGGCACTGTATAGACGCACCAAATTTCAGAAAAGCCTCTTTTGAAAGTAAATTGGAAAAAGATATGCAATACTGCAAATTGTGGTTTTTTTCCGATTTACCAGTGCAGTCTAGACGTAGCCTCAGATGGCTTGCAGTTTAAGTTGCTTGACTTTTGAGAAGTCAAAGATGAATCTTCAAGTAGCATTCATCATGCTGGAAAGAACTTCCTAGAGAAAGACCAGATACTATTAATTGAATTACTGAATACTCTAAGGCAGTGTTTCTCAACCTTTTTTTTTAATAAAATACCCCCTTTAAAAAATTGTAAGTACCCCCAGTACCTACAGGTTTTCAGACACACAGCATTTTTTTTTCTACTACAGCAACACATTAGTTTAACCAACTAAATTGTAGCTGGGCAAGCGATGAAATTTTTGGATGTAAAAAGTACAAAAATAATAAAGCACTGTAAAATTTAAAACAAAAAATCAGTTTTCTCCAAGTTTCAGTTGTATTGATGTACTCCCCAGACTTGTCTTGTACTGAGCACTCTAATTCCTCTCAACTCTTTGTGAAGTCATGTTGTGCGGTTCCACCACTTAACCCTACCCTTACAGATTTTAGCAAAGTGATAGAAATGTAGCCGCGTTAGTCTGGTGTAGCTAAAACAAAATACAGGACTATGTAGCACTTTAAAGACTAATAAGATGGTTTATTAGCTGATGAGCTTTCATGGGCCAGACCCACTTCCTCAGATCAAATAGTGGAAGAAAATTGTCACAACCATATATACCAAAGGATACAATTAAAAAAAATGAACACATATGAAAAGGACAAATCAAATTTCAGAACAGAAGGGGGATGG